ACCCCAAAACCCCAAAACCCCAAAACCCCAAAACCCCGATATAAGGAAGGCTGATTGGCAATAATTAATTAATTAAAAATAATCCTGATGAACGAATCTGGAATTCCTTCTATACATCCTAAATTGTTGGATGTGAAAGACAATTCAGAAGTTATGGACTTTTTAGAATCCACGATCAGAGAGACAGAACTAGCCAGGCTTGAACAGTATGAGCACCAAAGGAAGAATATAGCTGGCCTTCTGAAGAAAGAGAATCATTCCCTAGATGGGTATTTCGATCGACTCATTGAGATGTGTAAAAGAGAAATGGCAAAAGCCCATCTCTATTATGACCTCCAAAGCAAACTAAACCAAGCCTTGAGACAAACCAGCACGAAGGAATTGGTGAATGCTATAGCCGAAGGTCTACAAAGAGGCAAGGAGTGGGACAAAAATTATAAGCAAGAAGAGACCCTCACTTTGTGAGTTATTTACTCTATTGGTGCTAATGTTCAGAAAATTCAGAGTTTTAACAATTTTGATGACCTAGAGAAAGGAATTGAAAAGCAAGGATCTACTACGATCACTGAAAATAGCACTTCTGATGCTCCAACTAGAGTTAATTGCAACAAAAGCACTGAAGAGTCGACTAAAGAAGAAGAAACTAACGTTACTGGCTCTAATGATTGAGAGCAAAATAAAGCCTGTATTGAAGAAGTGAAAGACCAAAATAAACATTCTAATAAAGACTCAAACAACATTACTACAATTTTGAAAGAAAGTAGTGACGAGGGAGGCACTAGATGGAGAGAGGAAGAGCTTTGAGGAAATCCTGGTAATGAGATTCTCAAAGAAAGAAATAAGGTAGCTGAGGATGCTCCACAATGGGAATCTTTGAGTGAAAGGAAATCTCAAAATGAGGAAGGTGAAGAAGCTCCAAATCCATCACAAGATGATAGTGCCTCATGTGGTGAAATAAATGTTGATCCTAATGTGACTGAAGAGAATCTTTCTTCAGATAATGATTCCCGGCAATCTTCTTTAGGAAGAGCAAATAATAATGTCGGAAATGATGAAGTCAAATTAGAAACTCCTCAACCCAACCTCAATGAAAAGTCTGATTTGAGTTGTAAATCTAGTGATATTTCTGTCTGAAATGAAGAAGCCTCTCAAGTTGTTAACAAAGGTAATGCTCCCCAAGAAAGTTGTGCCATTAGATGTCTTGGATCTACAAGAAAGGGCACCGAACATTCGGAAGAAGACACTAAATCAAATGATTCTAGTACTTCTGATCGATGTGATGAGCAAAAAGCCAAAACAAATCAGAAACCTGAGGCTTCATCAACAGATTCTGACGGTGAGGGTAATCCTGGATCCAATGAATTAGGACCTCCAAATGATGTTAAGAATAATGCTTCAGACTGTTCCGAGCTTGAGAATAATGCTAATGAGCCTTCTGCATTTTATAATCAGAGTAGCCCCCCTCAAAATAAAGAAGATGATCCAGAAACCTCTGTCAAGCAAGAAATCAAAATCCAGAAAGAGCAATTTACTTCAGAGAAGATTTCTTCTGAAAATAAAGGAGGTGAAGATTCTCAGCCTGATCAAGCTAATGATGAATCAGAAGCTTCTGAATCTCAACAAGAAAAGAAGGAGGATTCCAGTGATGATATTCCTGGAGATAACATTAATGGAGATAAATCAGGACCTGATTCTCTTGCGACTTCTGGCGAGATTAAGACTGTTGAAGACTCTGACACTTCTGACGCTAGAGAAGAGAGCCAAGAAGAAATTAAGCATGAAAAAGAGGATAATTACCAAAATGGTGAAATTGAGGATGTTAATGATGAAGGAAATGATTCTGACCGATCTGAAGAACAAAAGAATAGCGATAATGAAGATGAAATCCAAGAAGATATTACTAAATGTTCTACTACATCAAAAGAGGAAGGTACTCCTAAAGAGGCTTATGATAATCAGATTTCTAAAGAAGATACTCAAAAAGCTCTGGAAATTCCAAAACCTGACTCTTCTACTTCAGGTGAAGAGCCTCTTGCTCAAGATCCTTCTGTATATAATACCAATGGGGTTCCTCAAGATAACACTGAAGAGTCTTCTAAAGAAGGCGATACTACAAAAGTTATGGGCCAACCTGGTAACTCTGAGTGAGAAGAATCCTATTTTGAAGTATTTGATGTAGAAGTCCAAAAGTTCTCAGAAATTCATCATCCAAGCCAAAAAGATCACGGCATCTCTCGTAGTGGTAAAACTGAGGATAAAGAAGAAAACAAGGTATCTGAAGAAGACAGTAAGGAAGGTGAATGTGAAAATGACAATATTACAGGATCTGGAGAGCATTCTCAGAATTCAGAAACTGTTGAAAAAGAGAAATTAGATGATGATCATAAAGAAGATGGTCCATCTAATGTTGAAGAGGTTGAGAAGGCTGCAAATTCCAAGGAATCTGAAGGATCAGATTGCTCTTTGAAAAAGGAACTTCTACAAGATAGTCATTTAAATGAGAAGACCCTGGAAGATACAAATAACAACACAGTAGAGGAAAGTAAAGGTTCTATATCTTCATGAAAACCCAAGTGAATCCAAATAACTCTTGAGGCAATCCCAAACCCTGCTCTAAAAAATGAAGAAGTGGCTGATCTTGAATCTCAGAAATGTATTAGAGATGAAGGAAATAATTTCTCTGATGTGAAGCATAATGGCCTCAATAATAAAAAATCAGAAGAAATCTCTCAGAAAAATGATACTAACTTTTCAGGCTTTAATGAAGAAGATGTAAAATCTGACTTTGATGAAGAATCTAAAGAGAACACCCAAAATTCTTGAGAAAATGACAAGAAGTTTTCCATCACCTCACAAACAAGTGAAGATAACATCAGCAAAGTAGACCATACTTCATGGACAGATAATGAGTCATCAAAGAATGTTGTTGGAGAATATAAAGAGGGCCTGAACCAAACTCAGGATATTCAAAATCTTGGCTCTTCTAATGAAGATAAATCCGTAACTGGGGGGAATGTAGATGCTTTGGATAAATCGCTAGATGAGCAGACTCCCACTAATAAAGCCAATAATAATTCCAATGAATTTGGAGAACAAAATCAAAAATCTGATGAGAATTCCCCTTTTAATATTGATCACCAACCAACTAATCCAAACTATTCAGGAGTTGATGATGCAATTAGTGAAGAAGTCCAAGCAAATATTCCAAGAGATTCCTTCTCGAGATCGAATTTGTCAGAAAATTCTGAAGGCAACCCTGAATTAGATGATCAAGAACCAAGTGATCCTAATAAAGATCCCCATACTGATCAAGTCTTGAATATCATGATCTCTGAATCTACAGGAGTTATTGGGAATACTAACAATGGTTCTAGCACCTTAGAAGGAGTTGATAAAGATTTTGATGGCCAATCTACTAAAGAAGGTATGATAGAAGATAAAGAGCATGTAGTTTCCCTATTGCAAGGAAAGTCTGATAGCCCGGTTATTGAACAGACAAATTCTCTAGAAGCTGATAAGCCTACTTTAAATGATGATGATAATCCTGTTCCGGATGAACGAATGGATGGAAGTGTTGAGGATAAAATGGAGAGCCTAGGTTCTGTAGCCCATAGTCAGTGAAATTCTTTTAGAACTCAAAAAGTAAAGCCTCAACAAATTATTGATGATGATAACAGTAAACTTGAATTAAAAACAGGCATTCAAAATAATGATTTTCAAAAAGAAGAAATTCATAAACATCAAGAAGATCAAAGCAATAAACAAAATGAAGAAATCAATACTACTCTGCCTCAAAGAGATATTATGAATGATCCCAACTACGAAAAAAATAAGCACAAAGACTGGCAAAACTGAGGCAACTCACTCCTCTTTAGTTCTCATGAATCTTCCTCTAAAGCTGAAAATGCTCCTAACCCAATGAATACTAGTAGAAAGGGTCATCAAAATGATCCTCTCTCAATACCTGAGACAGAATATCACCATCAACAAAATTCTGATACTAAAAATGATCTTAGTCAAGAAGGTTATAATCAATATCAGAAATCTCCACATGAAGATTATGATGATTCTAAGTGAGGAGATGATGAATTTCATTCTTGAAATGACGAAGAGGATCAATCAGAGACTGATAAAGACCCCTCTTCTCAAATTGATCCAAACTATAATCCTTTCGATAATGATGAAGAGTATAAACTTCCTCAAGAAGTTGCTTTAAACGAAAATGATCTTTGGTTTGTACATCCAGGATTTCAGAATAATGGGAATAATTGCTTCATGAATTCTATCCTCCAGATGCTCCTTTCTATTCCTGAGTTCGTAATATATTTTGTAGATGCGCCACTGCCAGAACTTTCAGCTTGAACAAGACTTTATTATCGGGGAAAATTGAAGGTAGCTTCTTTTACAGAAGAAATGAATAAGTTAAGAGTTTATTGATATGAGAGAAATCATAAAATAATTATGCCAAATTTATTAAGGAAGTTGTCAGAGGATGAATTTCCTATTGGTGAGCAAAATGATGCATGCAAATATATGCTACATCTGTTCGAGAATTTACAGAATGAATCCGATCCTTCTGTGCCTCACTTTGTGTCCTCAGGATATGAGAACTATGCTGAAGCTTGGATGAAGTATCAAGAAGATCATTATTCTATCATTGACCAACTCTTTGTGGGAATGTATGAGACAGTCATCAGTTGTAATAAATGCAATGATAAGACAAGAAACTATGAAGAATTCATAAATGTTCCTCTGACGATAGAAACTGATGATAAAGGATCCAAATCTCTTGAATTTTTTGAAAATCAAAAGGAAATCTCTCCTTCTAAATACTATTGCTCAAAATGAGAACTCATCACTAGTTGAGCAATCTTCAAAAGAATATGCAAAGCTCCAAAATATCTGATGCTTTCTATTCAAAGGTTCGATGATTTCACTCAAGAGAAGGACAATGATCATGTTCACTATCCCCCTACCTTCAGGCTAGAGCTTCCAGGTAAAAAGAAGGCAGTTTATGACTTAAAATCTGTGGTATGCCATTCTGGAGGATTGGAATTCGGGCATTATCTTGCCTTCTGCAAAAGAGGAAGATATTGGAGAGATTACAATGACGAATATGTCGAATATTCAAACATCTATCGGGCTACTAACGAAGATGCTTACATGCTCGCTTATAAAATTAGATATTATGAATAATTCAATTTGGAGAATCTGCTTCGGGGTTTTGGGGTTTTGGGGTTTTGGGGTTTTGGGG